ATTAGCTGTTGCGTTTACTACTAGAATGTTGTTGAGAACTTAATTGATCTAGTGTATGCTTTTTTTTAAAAGACCATGTCAGATGTTTTGCTTGCTCTGCTGTTTTTATAGATATTTTATTTTTTGATAATGGCACTGAGTGTAACTGATCATGTTTTCCTCTTTTTACTTTGGCTGATACAAATTCAGATGCGAAATTAAATACTAATTGTAAATTTGTTTATTGTGTTCCAGTATTTCTTTTCACTATTTTATGGTTTGTAAACAAGGACCTTTGTACTTGTAGATTATAAACTACTGAATCAAGCCCATTTTGAGAATAAGATTGACTAAAGGAATAATTTAATTGCATAATAGATATCTCTGAAAATGTAAATTAAAGATTGTTGAAGACCTTTGCATCTTTTTTTTTTTTTTAAGTTGCTCTTGTGGTGCAGAGCTTTAAAATGAAGAAAAAGTCAGAATATTTTCTTATCTCTTACACTGGGTCTTAGCCAGTTTAACTTAGGGCCTCTTTCACCAAGAGCTTGTGTGTGACAAAAGATGCAAGTCAGAGATGACAAGACTTTTCTTCCGGAGCAAATCACTTCCCAGGTAGTTCAAACTAAGGCAATAGAAGATTGTATTGAATCTCTTTTCTTAATTGGTATCACTGGTGCTTGTTAGGCAGCTAAACAGCAGTGTATTTTCTGGACTTAGCATAATTCTAGGTTTAATATAAACCAAATGGTAAAGTAAGGAACTCCAAAAATCCATCTCTCCACAAAAGCAGCAACAGCAAAAATACTGGCAAAAACTGTCACAACCAACTTTTTCAGAACTCTGGCAACTAAATAAAAGCTTGTAGCACCAAGGAGAATACTTAATCAAGAAACACCACTGAATCTCAGAATAATGAGCTTTGTGGCATTTTACTATCCCCTGCTCCTCACCTCAGTGGTAGCCTTGAAAATAACAGTCTCCATTGTTGATACTGGTACAGGGAGTGGGATAGACCTCATTCGCAAAGAATTGTAATTAACTTGTTTTGATCTGTCTGGTCGCTTTCTGGAAGACTGGCTCAAAAGGTTTGCCTTTTTCTCACCTCACTGGGAAGTCTCCCAGTGCAAAAGTGACCACTTTGGGGGTGTTTGCCAAAAATATTTACAGACATATGTATTAGTCAGTGTGCCTGAGGCAGAGGACAACAGTTGCGGCAAAAAACAGACTAACCAAAAAGCTTGTGAGGAAAGGCTGGGAATGAGGCGCTTTGGGGAATGAGGGCTTTGAAATTCTCTGACATATTCCTGGGAATCTAGAAGGGACATGCATGCCCAGAGAGATAGGCATGCTCAGGAAAGACCTGAGGAGGCCCTAAGTGCTCTCTTCTCGCTGACTTTAAGGCTTAGCACAGGCAGGAAGTGAAGGCTAAGGCAATTATAAACTGCCTGGCTGGGTATTCAGGGCTTGTCCCAGCACATAGAGCCCATCTGCAAAGACTGGGAGAATTTTTGATTGCAGATGTTTAATGAAATTTTTTTCTAATTGCTAGCTGACCGCTAAACTGTTGGAACAGAGACTTCAGTGGCCACACAAAGAAATAGACTTTGTAGAATTAGTTCAGAAAAGTCGTTAAATAAGAAAACAACTATAACAAACAGTAACAACAAACTCTGAGAGGGGGGAAATACCAGATTTCTAGAGTTGCCACAATGTAATATTAAAAATGTCCATTTTTCTATATAAAATTATGAGGCATACAAAGAAACAAAGTAAGGTCCTTACACAGAAGACATTATTATACTTATAGCTTTTATAATTATAATTTCTATAATTTATAATATAATTTAGAATTTATAATTTCTATAAGTATAGTAATTATAATTATTATAATAACAGAAACTGTCCCCAAAAAGCAGAAAGACTTAAGCAAACTGTCTTAATTATGCTCAGAGAGCTAAAGGAAATGAAGATGATGTGTCATCAAATAGAGAATATCAATATAGAAATTATAAAAAAAGAACTAAACAGATTCTAGAGCTGAAAAGTATAATAACAAATGAAAGATTTACTAGAGGGTTTCAATAGCAGATTTGAATACACAGAAGAAAGAATCAGTGAACTTGAAGATAAGTTAATTGAACTATCCAGTTTGAAGAGCAGAGCCTTATTATAGACCCGTGAGACACCAGCACACACAGTGTGATGGGAGTAACAGAGGGAAAGGAGAGTGAGAAGAGGTGGAAAGAATATTTGCTGTGGGCTTAATGTTTGTGTCCCTCCTCCCCCAATTTATATGTTGAAATCTTAACCCCCAAGGTATTAGGAGGTGGGTGGTGACTAGGTCATGGAGGTGGAACCCTCATGAATGAGATTAGTGCCCTTATGTAATAGTAATGAAAGAGATCCCTGGCCCTTCTACCATGTGAGGACATAGCAAGAAGGTGCTATGAACCAGAAAACAGGCCTTCACCAGACACCAAATCTGCTGGTGTTTTGATGGTGGACTTCCAGCCTCTAGAACTGTGAGAAATAAATCTCTATTGTTTATAAACCACCCCATTTATGGTATTTTGTTACAGCAGCCTGAACAGACTAAGATAATATTTGAAGAAATAATGCCTGGAAACTTCTCAAATTTGATGAAAAACATTAATCTACACACTTAAGAAGCTCAACGAACTCAGTAGGATAAACTGCACACCAAGACATATCATAAAACTCAAAGACAGAATCTTAAAAACATCAAGAGAAATAATTCATCACTTACAAGGATCCTTGATAAGATTAATAGCCGATTTCTCATCAGAGACTGTGAAGTTTAGAAGATAGTGGAATAACATTCAAAATTCTGAGAGAAAAAAAGCTGTCAACCAAGAATTCAGTATCCAGCAAAACTATCTTTCAGGAATGAAGGAGAAATGAAGAGTTTCCTAGATAAACAAAAACTGAGTTATTGCTGGCAGACCCGTCCTATAAGAAATGCTAAAGGGATTCCTTCAGGCTGAATTATAGGACATAAGACAGTAGTTCAGAATAACACTGGTATTGTAACTACATTGGTAAATATAAAAGTCTGTGTTTTAGTGTACATGTTGGTTGTTTTGCTCTTTTTTTTTCTGATTTAAAAGACAACTGGATAAAACAAAAATTATAATTTGTGTTGATGGGCACACTATAATGATACAATTTGTAACAGTAACAACATAAGGGGAGGGGTAACTATAGAGGAGCAAAGTTTTTGTATACTGTTGAAATTAAGTATTAATCCAAACTAGGTTTTATAAATTAAGATATTATAATCCCCAGTGCAAGCACTAAGAAAATAACAAAAAATATGTAGTAAAAGAAATGACAAGGAAATTAAAATGGTACACTAGCAAGTATCATTTAACACAATTAAACTCTCCACTTAAAAGGCAGAGATTGGTAGAATGTATTAAAAACGTGACCCAACTCTATCCTGTCTTAAGGAATTCACTTTATTTATTTATTTTTTGAGACAGGGTCTCTACTCTGGGCTAGAGTGCAGTGGTGGGCTCATAGCTCACTGTAACCTCAAACTCCTGGGCTCAAGTGATCCTCCTACCTCAGCCTCCCTAGTAGCTGGGACTACAGGTGTGACCACCATGCCTGGCTACTATTTTTTGTAGAGGCAGGGTCTCACTGTTGCTCAGGCTGACTTCAAACTTCTGGCTTCAAGTGATCCTCCTGCCTCAGCCTCCCAAAGTGCTAGGATTATAGGTGAGCCACTGTACCTGGCCATTTTTTTTTTTTTAATTTTGAAATTTTGTTTTTTATTTTTATAGAGACAAGGTCTCATTCTGTCACCCAGGCTGAAGTTCAGTGGCACAATCATAGGTCACTGCAGCCTCAAACTCCTGGGTTCAAATGACCCTCCCGTCTCAGCCTTCCAAGTAGTTGGGACTACAAGCATGCACCAGCACACCCAGCTAATTTTTCTTTTCTTTCTTTTTTTTTTGGTAGAGACAGGATTTTGCTATGTTTCCCAGACCGGTCTTGAATTCCTAGCCTCAAGCAATCCTCCTGCCTCAGTCTCCCAGAGTGCTGGGATTACAGGTGTGAGCCATCATGCCCAGACAAAATAATTTTAAAATATCGAAAAAACCTGAAACTAGCCATGTTTAGTGAGAGTGGTGTGTATGTGTGTGTTTAAATCACAGAAAAGCACATTTATAAGTTTTTATTCATGTGCTTGAAAATTTAAGAGGTTTTGATACTTGCAGTGAGTATTAGTTATTAGAAGTATGTGTTGTCCCAGATTTTTTGTTCATCAGTATTTGATTAAACATTTTATAGCCATATGAAAACAGCAAATCTAAAAATTTATTGATTATATGATTTTTTTCCTTCATTGGACTAACCTTTATGATTATGTCTTATATGGATTAATAAAATTGGTTTATATTTTCCCAGTATAAGTTAAATGGCACTTACAGGTGGTTGCTGAGATGTATATTTAATGATTCAGTTTTATATAAAGGGGAAAAGTTAATAAATATTTTTCATGAATAAGCTGCAGATTTCTTTATTGCCTATTTGATAAGTATAGAGAGGGATGATCTGTGGCATTTAGTAAAATATGCCATGTTGTTTATTGGTAATAATGACAATGTAAAGATCTTTCTTTAATGGAATAGTCAGAGAATATTAAAACTAGTTCTAAAAATCTTCAACAGTATCCTTTTAGAGTTAACATTGAGAGTATTTTATCTAATTAATTCTTACTTATTTTTCTCTCATTCTGTTATTGTTTCTAGCTTTAGTAGTTTAAGAAAAGTAACAGCTGTTTTCCTGGTGGGAAACTTTTAGTTCTCTTGTTGTTTGTTCATTTGTACTAAAAACTAAGTAGCCTTTTACGTATATCTGAAAAAAAACAAACTTGCGCATAAGAAAACTTTTTAGTATATATAAATTAGAGGTATTTCACATATTTACAAAGGAATTTTTATGACTACAAGTTAAATTTGAAATATGTGGCCCATGTTAATTTCTTTCAGGAGAAGGAAGCCAACATCCTTTTGGAGCCATGAATATTGTCCGAACTCCATCTGTTGCTCAGATTGGAATTTCAGTGGAATTATTAGACAGTCTGGCTCAGCAGACTCCTGTAGGCAATGCTGCCGTATCCTCAGTTGACTCATTCACTCAGGTAATACAATGCTTATTTCATTGTTTTCCTCCTCCCCCCACTTTATTAAGGTATAATTGACAAAATTGTATATATTTATGGTATACAGTGTGATGTTTTGATATGTTTACGTTGTGAAATGATTAAATCAAGCTAGTTAACATATCCATCCACCTCACATACTTATTTTTTTTGTGGTGACAACATTTAAGATCTAATCTCTTAGCAAATTTTAATTATACATTATTATTAACTGTAGTCTCCATGTTGTACAACAGATTTCCAGAACCTATTCATCCTGTCAAACTGAAACTTTGTACTCTTTGACCAGCATCTCCTCATTTTCCTCCCCTCCACTCCCCAACCCCTGGCAACCACTATTCTGCTCTCTGCTTCTATGAGTTCAACTTTTTTTAGATTCTACATATAAGAAAGATCATGCAGTATTTGTCTTTCTATACTTGGCTTATTTCACTTACCCTAATTTTGAGAGGAAAAAACTGGCATAAGAGAGCAGGGAGAATTGCTAAAGCAGTATCCTTGAGTAGAAACTGGCAGCATATGTGGAGGTGTTCACTTCAGATAGGATAATGGCTATATGGGTATGGATGTAGGAGGTTGGTAGATGAACTTGTGCAGGCTCTCCTGATTTCTGCTCTTTGCTCGGTGAAATAGAAAGATCATCAGCTAAAATTGAGGGGAAAGGAGATATTAGAAAATTTAAAAGGACTATTAAATAAGTCCTTGAGAAGAGGAGGAGGAGGGTGAATGGTCTAGGGAAACCTTATGGATTTGTTGGGCAGCACCAAAGGCACACTTTTGAAGGTTGTGGTCATGAATTTAAAGGCAGATTTGTCATATGATCTCTTGAAAATGGGCTGAAATAAGAATGACAGAGTCTGGATCTCAAAATTTTTTTTCCAGTAATTTAAAAAATAAACTGCTGTGCTGAAAACAAACTGTAAAACAATACTTACAGTATCCCATGTAGATGGCATTAGAAGTTTCTGGAAAATACACACCAAAATGTTAAGTTATCCCTGGAGAAGGGTAAGAAGACTTTTTACTGTAACTAAATTATTTGAGCTTTTTAAGAAAGCACTTACATTTTTTATTAAACATTTTATTATGAAATATTTTAAATACACAAGACAGTACAGAGAATAATTTATACATCCCATAAATAGTTATTGTTTAATCTCCTCTGTGCCAGGCATTTTCTAAGCACAAATAGATATGAATAGGTAGACAAAACTCTCTTCATAGAGCTCTTTTTATAGTAGGGTTTGTACTAAGACTTCTAAGTTTCTTTCACCTAGATTTAACTGTTATATTTTGCATATTTGCTACTAATTTTTTTAAAAAAGAAATAAAATGCTACAGGTCACTGCTGCCTGCTTCTCTCTCTCCCTTTTACTTTGCATGTACTTTCCATGTACTCTTCTAACTTCATATATTTTTCCTATCCATATTTAGCAATTTAAAAAAATTTCTGTGTATCTACTATACATACAAAATATGTATAGTACTATTTGTATATGTGTTTAAACATGTTTCTAATTTAATTGCTCTCAGTTACTCTTATTTAAATTTTTATTAAAGTAGCACATATCCTTGGTTTAAAACTCAAATAGTTTTATATGCAAAATAGTTGTCCTGTTATAACTGTTATATTTTCCTCAGAAGCTATCACTTTTAACCCTTTTTAAACCTATTTTTTTCTAGCGTTTATTACTTCCACGTATCAGAGAAACCTTGCTTAGTCTATTTTTTTCTGTTACAGATGTTTTCCATTGACCTACCAATATGAAACATGATGATTGTAGTTCTCTTACTCTCCTGCTCCCTAACATACACACTTTTCTCCCCACTTTCCCAATATAAATTTTCATTAAATTAATACTCAGAGTTTTCAGTATTACAACTAGGTAAATATTTTTCAGAACTGAGCCACATGTAGTACAATCATTTCTTGTATAACTTTTTATTTTTCCTAGTTTCATTTTCCTCACTTTTTTCCTTTGTATAGAGCTCTGTGTTTCCATTTCTGATTTATGCCCAAACTCTTCTAGTGTAAATTCCCATTCAGTAGATTTAAATGTATCAGATTTGTCTGGAAACATCCCTCTTGGAACCCTCCTTTCACTGTTGTTCTACTGTGGTCTGACTATTCACTGGACCTGTTGTATAGCTGTAGTTTCAAGATATTATTTTCTTTCACAATTACTATAGAGATTCCTTTTGTTTCTCTTCTGGGTTCAATCCCTTGTTTTCTAGTTCCTTTATTTTTCCTTCTTGTTTGTTTATTTTGTATGTTTTAAAAACAAATATAAATGGTATCATTCTGTACAACTTACTGTTTGCTCAACAGTTTTTCATTTCTGTATTGATAGATGTTTATATATTCTCATTAACATTTATCAAAATCTTAAAATTTTGCCTAACTGGCTGGTGGGTGAAAATTAGAATATTATTTTCATTTGTATTTCTTGATTACTAGTGATCGTGAGCATCTTTTCACATTTTGGGCTGCATTTGTATTTCCTTTTATAGAAATTGTTTATATGTTTTGTCCGATTTTCTTTTGTATTGCTTTTTGCACTTTTTAATTTAGTCTTTTGGGAAGTGGCTTTTATGTGTTCTGATAATAATCCTTTGTTAAATATATTGCAGATTTCTCCTTCTAGTATGTTGCTTGTCTTTTAAGTATTGCTTGTGATGTCTTTGCATACACTGAGCAAGAGTGAGACCCTATCTCTATGAAAAACAGAAAAATTAGCTAGGTGTCGTGGCACGTGCCTGTAGTCCCAGCTATTTGGGAAACTGAAGGAGGAGGATCGCTTGAGCCCAGGAGTTTGAGGTTGCAGTGAGCTACGGTAACGCCACTGCACTCTACCCAGGGCGACAAGAGCAAGATTCTGTCTCCAAATAAATAAATATAATATTTTTAAGTAGGTAAGCTTATTAGTTGCTTCCTTTATGATTTTTGGAGTATTTTTTTTTGATATTTGAGAAATCTTTCCCTACCCTGATATATAAAGATGTTTTTCTATGGTTCTTAAAGCCTTAAAGCTTTACTTTTTATTTTATTTTATTTATTTGGAGCCCGAGTCTTGCTCTTGTCGCCCTGGGTAGAGTGCAGTGGCGTTACCGTAGCTCACTGCAACCTCAAACTCCTGGGCTCAAGCGATCCTCCTCCTTCAGTTTCCCAAATAGCTGGGACTACAGGCACGTGCCACGACACCTAGCTAATTTTTCTGTTTTTCATAGAGATAGGGTCTCACTCTTGCTCAGGCTAATATGAGAAGAGATTTAAATTCATGTTTCCCCTCTGGAAAACCAGTCCTAGCCCCATTAATTGAATAGTTAGTCCCATTTTTTTTTTTTTTTTTGTTACCCCTGAGTAATAGTGTCTTTCTTATATACCATGTTGTCACATGTGCTTAGTTTTTTTTTTTCTGTGCTCTCTCTTTTATTCCAATTAGTTTATTTGCTTGTTCCTTTGCCAATAAGTCTTAGTACCTGGTAGGGCAAGTTCCTCTTCCTAGTTATCAAAATATGTTTAGGTATTCTTCATAATAATTTTAGTGGCTTGTTGAGTTCCGTGAAACAGTATCAGCTTGTCAAGTTTCATGAAAAACCTTGTTGGAATTTGGTTGGAAATAGCATTGGATTTACAGGTTTATTTGGGGGAGAACTGGCCACTTCTACCATTGTCTTCCCATCTGTGACACAGTATATCCTTCCATTGAACATGATATGTATTTATAGGCCCTTTTGTTTTCTGTTTCTCAATATTTATCATACTTTATCATATTTTCCACAAAATGTCCTATCAGCTTGTCTCAGCATTTTTTTTCTAGGTATTGGAAAGACTTTGTATTTTCAATTGAATCTTTTTAAAGTTACATTTAAAAATTGTTTTCATTGGTGTGGAGGGCTACTGTTGATTTTTTTTCTAATATTGATCTTTTAGTTAATGATCATACTGAACTCTGATATTAATTCAAGTACCCTAAAGTAGAGTCTCTTGGATTAAATTACCTTCATATTATTAAACAAACAAATTAAAACACCTAATTAAGATGATTTCTCTTGTGTAGAGAAGAGACAGCAGGAGCCTTCATGGCTGGTTTTATATTTTTGAGTGAGTAGAAGGTAGTATTATCTCTAGAAGTACGTTTACTTTTAGGTTTAGTACTTAAACCCATCTGATTCTCAGGAAATACGAATCAGTTTACTTTTAGCTTCTACCAAGGAGACTTGGAGGATTTTTAGTGAATTTGACCATTTTAGGATCAATGAGAAAAAACAGGTTAGGAAATAGAGGAAATAGAATAATACTACTTTTCTTTTTAAAGATGGGAAGTAACCAGCTGCTTTTTTATCAATTTAAACTCTTTCTGGCAAGAAAAAGATTTCTTAGAGCTGGTTACTATTTTATATGAGAAAATAGGTTGATTTTAGGAGAGTGGCATTTGAGGAGGGGAACTTACTGAATACAGATGTGGAGATGAAAGAAAATATTTTGAGGAAAAAAACTTTCCTTTTTTTTTTCCAAAGTGAATAACATATTCTACAATGTCATTTTATGAGTCAAATTTTATGACTAAACTTCTTTTCTTAAGTTTAGAGAGTCTTGATCTGTAATAAACATGTATATTTAGGGTATCAGGGTATATCGCACCCTGAACATTAAAATAACATTTTAATGCTTAACTTTCAGCACTGAATTATCTTGGAACTTACAGTTCTTAAAACCAATTTCATACAGGAACATTTTTAATTAAAAATATTGAAGTCTAAATGGAATATTTAGTATAATCCATTAATCTATTATTAACTTTATAGTTCACACAAAAGATGCTGGACAACTTCTACAATTTTGCTTCATCATTTGCTGTGTCTCAGGCCCAGATGACACCAAGTCCCTCTGAAATGTTCATTCCAGCCAATGTGGTTCTGAAATGGTATGAGGTATTCTCTATCTCTAACATTAAGACTGTCAGTAACTGAATATCTGTATTGCTTGTGAATGTATTCCTTCTTTGACATTTAAACATGTACTTTTATCGTGGACATCAGCATACATCAGCATTAATATTTACATGCCATTAAAGTGTGTATTATCGAGTTCAGATCAGGAACGGTTCTTACTGTAAATATTCTGTTTATATAGTAGCCATTATGAACCTATAAAGACAGGAAAATATAATTGCCTATGTTTTAGGAACCACTATTAAGGTCGTAAATTTTTGTATATTTTGCCTTGAAAGTACTACATATGAGACTTGAAATATCAATCAAAACTTTTTTTTCTTAAGTTTAGAAAGTCTTTATCTGTAATAAGGATGTACATTTAGGGTATCAGGGTACACTGCACCCTGAACATGAATGACTAATAAATATTTTTGCCCAACTTACCCATGTTTCTGTTTTGTAGATATTTCTTTATACTTTGAATATCCCAGTGGTGGGGGGATGCTTAAGAGGAGTTTGTTGAGAAATGATACCATGGTGTGTGTAGCATGGAGAGCACTGAGATGTACTAGGTTTGAGCTGTGTCACAATGTAGCTAGCTATGTGACCTTTAGCAAATTACTCTCATCTGCTCGTCTACAAAATGAGGGAATATGATTTGATATTTTTCCTTAGGTTCCTTCTTTTAATAGCTCTCAAGTTTGCAGAAGATAACAATTACTAAAATTTATTATGATTCCTTCTCTGATAAAAGCTAATCAAAACTGCTCTCATACTTAAATCACTATACTTGCTATCTTTTTATAAGAATAATTAAATTTCTAGATTACCTTTTTAGCTTTTTTATCTTAGGTTTTTAGAAGTGGCATATAAAATTGTTTTTGGTAAGTCATTTGGCAGATTATGAAAGATCCTGTATCAGTTTTCTTGGAAATAATATGCATTTTCTTTTCTAGGTATGAAAACTTTCAAAGACGACTAGCACAGAACCCTCTCTTTTGGAAAACATAATTTAAATAAAATAATTTTTAATGGATTCTGAAAGTTGTCATATTTTGAAGATAAATGACTCCGTTTTAAAAGCATGAAGTCAAAAGGATCATGAAACCTAAGTTTAAAAATTGCTTAGTGACTGTGAGGCTTAATTAATATCTTTATAAAAAATTAAAAACATTGAAAAATGAAAATACATTTGTCATTAATGACTTTTTATCCCCTTAAGATTATAATACTATTCAGAGACAAAACAGTTTGTTTGGGCTTTCATTTTTTACTTAAAAATAAAGCTTGTTCACAACAGTAGTATGCCAATGCCATTGCATATGTAATGTTTCAGTTATTTTTGTAGAGGCTTGTTAGATTAGTTAACTTTAAATCAGCTATCTCAAAATTTGGGAAACTTTTGAAAAACATATCAAATACACATTTTTTAGATAAGAAAAAATTATTTTCAAGGAGTATTAAGATTACAAGTGTTTTTAATTAGCACAGGTTGGCTGTCAGTTTTTATATCTGCAGCTTTATACATTTTTATTTAATAAAATAGCCATGATTAATAGCGATGAACTCTTATTTAATACTAGTAATGTTACTAGGCATTTATGTATTTAATATAGGATTCACATGCATATGAAGGTAGAACCTTTGTGTCTTATTTAAAAGAGAACCGTTTGACTCATTTATACTGGTGAAGCCCATTGGCCAAAGACTACCAGGATCTCACCTGTAATGAAAGCTAGGTTTATTAGCTTGCTGCACCAGAGAAACCATGAGGAATCTCCAAAGGAAGGGTACATATAGAAGTTTGGGGCCTGGAGTTAGTTTTGGATTGTCTCGGCAGATGTTGGTGAAAATTTGGAAACTAGGGAATTGCTGGAATAGTCTATGTTTTTAGAACACATAAATCTGTGCAAAGTTATTTGTTGGGTCAGTGTATGGTCTTGAAACATGAATTTGGTTGAGCTGGCAGTAAGAATTGAAGCTTAGGTAGTTTCTTACATTGCCACAACTTACACATTTTGCAAGTTGTATATTTTTGCAAGTTCTCGGTTCTTTTCTGGTCTTTCTTCAGCCTGAGTTGAAGGTTAGACTGCTATCTTTTAGAGTTGTGATTAATCTAGATCTGTATTGCTATTTACTGAGTTATAATTGTGTATCAGGTTTTCAATGGTAGTGATTAGGCTCAGGTCTTCTTGTTAATGAACATTGTTGTATTAGTCCATTTTCTGTTGCTTATCACAGACTACCTGAAACTGGGTAATTTATAAAGACAAGAATTATGTATCTTACAATTATGGAGGCTGAGAAGTCCAGGGTTAAGGGGCCACATCTGGTAAGAACCTTCACACTGGCGGGGACCCAAAAAATCTCAAGAGTGCCAAGACAGCTCAGGGTATCACATCGCAGGGACTGAGAGTGCTAGCATGCCAGCTCAGGTCTTACTTTCTCTTCTTATAAAACCACCAATTCCCTTCCCATGAGAGCCCATTAATCCATGAATGGAGTAATCCATTCATGTGGGCCGAGCCCTCATTCTCCAATCACCTCTTAAAGGCTGTCCCTTCCAGTACCACCACATTGGGGATTTAATTTCAACATGAGTTTTGGAGGAGACAAATATTCAAACGATAGTAATTGTTGAATCAATCATGTGACTTGATGGCTATACAACAGCATTTAATACTGTGAACAAAAAGTATCAGCCAATTGCAATACAATTACCAGAAGCAAAGTGATTATTCTTATACTAGAATTTGTACCCAGGACCTAGATTGCCAAACCCAAGCTACAAAAACATGTTCTAACAAGTACAGCTGGGTCTATTCTACAGAGGCAACCAGCTTCTTCCTTTAGCCTAATTAAAACCCGTTCTACCTACCCAGTAATTTTTATAGAGGTCCAACAGAAAGTACTAACACAACCTGCCTCTTGGCTTGGTAAGAGGAAATCAAAGACTATGTGATTGTCCATGACAATCTTGGGTAGTGAATTTAAACTAGTTTATTGGGCTTCCAGAGCAGATGATGGTAGTCAAATTTTGGACCACATTTTCTAGTTGGAATAGTATCTTGAACATTATGCATAAAGAGAGTCAATTATCCCTTCTAGGAGCTCTGCTGAGTAGCCTATACCTGCCTGGTTTTGGAAGATTGTGGTTATCCTTTTTAGGGAAACATGGTACACTGGAGAGAAAAGGGTTTTAAATATCTGAAAATCTCTTAACAGTTGTTCTGTATACAGGATAGGTTTGCATATATGAGGCAGATGAAAGCCTGATGTTGGCATAAGTAATCCCTAAGTGGGTTACAGAAAATATTGGGAATATAATTATCACAACAGGAGTGAACCAATAATTGTTTCCTTGAGGTGGGCATATTCTCAGTGGAGTTAAATAGTTCATGCAGAGACGTCTGGAAAATCTTTGGAGAAAACTGACTAATGCAGTGAGGATAGTTCCAGCATTTGTCCCCTCCCCTGGTTCAGCTTGGTTCTGCTGACAGTGCTGTAATGATTTTAGCAGAAGTATTTTGTTGAATTGGGGTAAAGATCCAGTTTTTACAAGAGTGAAGATTGGGGTTAATGATATGAAGAAAGTTCAAATATCAGATATCTATGAGAGTAAACTGACCTCCCCAAGAGTTTAAATGAACAGTTATTTTTTTACAGTGGAATTTAAAAGATTCAGGGAGTAGCTGTGGTCTGAGAAAACTGCTCAAACGTCTTGTATTTCTTAAGGCGGCCAAAAAAGACAATAAAAGATGAAGAATAAAATGATGAAGATATGTGAGAGCATATTGACAAACCTTTAGGCAATTTTTAGGGAGTGCCAAACCATAATAAGCAAAAGAGGGAAATGGAGCAGAGGTATCAGAAAATTGATCTTGGTGCCTTAGGAATAAGCTATTTCCTGTTGTCATTTGCTTGATTTGAGGGTCTTGATTAGTAGTTTTCCTCCAAAGATGTTGGCTTTGGGAGGATTCTTAAGAATCGTTGGTTTAAAGTCTCCTGATGGAGTGGTGGTCCAGCTGTCTGGTTAAGATACTTGTCATTTAATTGGGAGACATAAATCCAGTGATCATCATCTTGGAGCTTACTGCGATGCTAGTTGTTATAGTATCTGCTAAGCTAATTCTTCATTTAGGGCAGTTTTTCTCTGATATCTCTTCCAGAAGACTAAATTTGCTGACAGTTGAGCAGTTACAGTTACAATGATGTTTTTGCAGAATGGAGGAGAATGGAATCCACTATTGAGGTACAACACAATTAATTTATAAGAACTTAATGATTATTATATGAGAGTACAGCATCATATTATGGACAGTGTAAACTGACAATTCTCTATGTCTGTAATCTCAAAGTGTATCTTTTGATAGTTGTGTCATGAACATACTTCTTTTTGCCTGAAATATATGGTCATTGAGACACTTGTATTAATAAATTTTACTTATGCATAATTTAACCTGAGAAGGCTGAACTCTTGATTTGTCAAGATTTTTTTCTTTTAGTTTCTTTTTTAAAAAAATTCCTTACACTAGCTTTGGATTAATTAAAATTTGGAGAATGCCAAACAAACTTAATTTTTCCTATTATTTTTTCTTCCATAAGATGAAGGAAATCCAAAGAGTTGAGGCATAAAAGACATCTTACCAGTCTTACTATGCCTGAATTTGGGAAAGGCTTATGTTCTCCAATGCATATATAGCTAGCTAAAAGGGCCCTTGTACGTGTTTTCGTGCTTTGCTTGGTATGCTCTTTTTCCATTCCCTTTGCTCTGATAATTCTTCCTTAGGTCTTGACTTAGATTTCACTTTCCCTGAAAAGCTTTTCTGACTCTCCAAGACAGCATAGTCTTTTTTTTTTCTCCTATAGCATTTTGTATCACTTAATCACCTTGCATTGTTGTTGCCTGTTTATTTGTCATTCTTTCCTGATAGGCTGTAGACTTCTTGAGGTCAGAAACTCTCTTTTTAATTGATGGCAAATAGTAGATGCTCAATAGATATTTTTGAAAGATTGAGCCAGATAGGAGGGCAGTATGCTTTACAGAGAAGTAAGTGCTTTTCTGATGAAAATGGCTTTAAATCTAGTGGCTTTCTAACTCAAGGATTTCGAATTTACAAAAGAATAAGCTAAAGTATGACAAGTGTTTGGGATTTCTTTTTACCATAGGGAGTGATACTTTTCCAGACATTAATTTATCCCCAATTTCTTGAATACCAGCATACCTCCATAAAATGCATAATGTGATGTTTTTCAAACCACGTTTTATAAAACACTAGTTCTGCTAGATACTCTGAAAAAAGGCTTCCATGACCAAATCGTTTAAGCAACACAGCATAATTTTCCCACCTCTTAAAATTCTGGCTCTGCAAACTCTTCAGTAATCTATTTAAACTTGTTAATTTGTTTTTCCACCTTATTTTTTAAAAAAATTTTAGTTATTATGGGTACATAATAGTTGTCTGTATTTATGGGCTACATGTAATGTTTGATACAGGCATACAACGTGTAATCAAATCAGGGTAATTGTGGTATCCGTCACCTCAAGCATTTATCATTTCTTTGTGTTAGGAATATTCCAATGCTTTTAGTTATTTTTAAAGTATACGGTAACTTATTGTTGACTGTAGTCACCCAGTTGTGCTATCAAATATTAGATCTTGTTCATTCTGTCTAACTATTTTTGAACCCATTTTCTAGCTTATTTGACTGTAGAACTCCATTTTAACTTCCTTTTGGAAAATGCAGTGAAGTAAGAGAAACCTAATACCCACTTTCAGATACTTATTAAGCCTAAATACAGAATAAAATAATTTATATACATGTTCTGGCTTAAATATTTATTGAAACAGTTTCATGATTGGCTATTTCTTTTTTTCCATTTAGAGCCCATTTTGGGCCAGGTGCAGTGGCTCATGCCTGTAATCCTAGCACTCTGGGAGGCCGAGGTGGGAGGATCGCTTGGGGTCAGGAGTTTGAGACCAGCCTGAGCAAGAGTGAGACCCTGTCTCTACCAAAAATAGAAAAAATTAGCCAGGTATGGTGGCATGCGACTGTAGTCCCAACTACTTGGGAGGCTGAGGCAGGAGGATCACTTGAGCCCAGGAGTTTGAGGTTACAGTGAGCTATGATGATACCACTGCACTCTACCTAGAGTGATAGAGTGAGACTGCCTCAAAAAACAAAACAAACAAACAAAAAATGTGATTAGAGCCTATGGTGGACTAATATGTATCAGATATCTGAGACATCATTAGCTTCAGCTTTTTTTTTTGCATTTAATTGATTAAAACCTAGTATTTTCTAGTCAA